GAGAAGGTGAATTGGGCACAAACTCTAGCATTCCTGAAAGAGAACATGAAATCAAAGGCCCTAGGGCCTGAGGCTAGTATGGGCTTGATAGATTTTTTTTTCTAGGCAACTGGATCCCATAGCAGCCATCTCTGATATCGTCCCCAGTATTCTCTGGTAGCTATGGATTTGACTTGGTCAGAATGTGTTTTGGAGGGCTGTAGATCAGCTTTACTGGTTTCGGGGAGGGACTGGGCATAAAGCAAGATTCTGAACTGCTTCTGGGGAGATCTGTGAAGTAAGGGGTCCCAGCTGGGTTCTCTGGAAGCAGATGCTGAGGTGGACTTTAGGTGCATGTTTATTAGGGATCATCACTTGTGGGAGGCGGTAGAAGAAGGATTGGGGGAGGGAGATATTAAATGTGATGCAGTGTGACAAGGTCTTGGCCAAGCTGGTGGGAAGCTCTGAAGTGTGTATTGCTGGTCATCCCATCCTGGGTCAAGCAGAAATGGCCAGGCCTGTGTACTCCATCTTGCCCAGTCACTGGAGGTGGGCTGCCCTGAGAAGTGTGACCTTGAGCAAGTTTGTTCTCTGCAGCCGAGGTCAACGCCAAGGAAGCTGACAGCTGGAAACCATCTGCTGACCACACACCCGTAGCTGGGCAAGAAGTCCTGCCCTGAACAGGGGTCTGGGCAGCACACTTCCCGGCTGTCCACGTAGAGGAAAGGCCCTGCTGTTCCGCCCTGAACACCACTCCCATTCTTTCCAGAACCTCATAGCCAGCTGCCTAGAAGGGTTTGAAAATGACCTGAAGAGTAAAGCCTAGCTAAGGTGCCAGCTGGAACAACTTACCGCACAAGTTTTTTCTCACAGAACTCGAAGACGGGAGCCATCAGGACCCAATCGATAAGCAAATTTATTCATTCAGGCAACTGATAAGAAATGATGAGTCATATTACTATGCATAGCAGTGAGAATCTCAGGGGGATCTGACACTCTGCTAGCTTGGGAGTTGTGAATATTTTGCAGTGCTTCTTGCAGAGCATGAAATAGACATCCACCTCCTGAAGTGACTTGCGGTTCAGCCTCTTGTATCACCAAGGACTGTTCAGTCCCCGGCACAGTGAGCCACCAGAGAAAGGGGGATAGAGCTGTAATTCAGTTACTCACCAAAAACCACTGCACCAGGTCAGCTCAGAAGACAAATTCCCCTAGGGACTCCAGGAATGCGTGGAAGTGAGACAGCGAGTAAGTGTGGCCAGGACTCCTCCTCAGGACGGGCTCCTCTGGGGATGGCCCAGCAGTGGAAACCTCTGTTCATAGAAAAATGTTTGAGAATGCTGATTTCAGCCAATCATCTTGTTGAAAACATAGGCTGTTCTGGGTAACCAGCGCCTGTTAAAACTTCAGTCTCTGATATGTCCCCAGGCAGGCAGAGGCCCATGGAAGGGAGGTACCATGTGGAAGGCCACACAGCCAGCTCCTGCAAGCCAGAAGAGCCTCAGCCCTGGTCCCTTTGGTCCCTTGTTTTCTTTATCATTGTCCATTCTGTGTCACACCCTTCCCGAGGCTGGTCCTCCCAGCTGCTTGGCTCCCCCATGGACCTGGTGCTGGGCACCAGCTCCCCTCTACCCTGGGCCCAGCTGGCCTCTTGCACACTGACAACGCCATGTCTTCCGCAATCTGCAGCAGGCTGTTGCCCTCTCAGCATCACCTAGCAATGCCTTCATCCACATGCTTCCCTGTACACATCTAAACAGGAGGGGCCTTTCCACACCCACTACTGCCCTGGAAAGCCCTGGGGGGGACGAGCATGGCAGCACACAGCATCCTGAGAAAGCCGCTGTGCGAGTGCAGTGTCTGCTAGAAAGGGGGGTGCTGTCCAGAGGGATGAGTTTACATAGGAAGGGGGAGTGGCCCTCAGTGTCCCTAGAACCTCTCTACTGGCTCAAGGAAAGGTGCTGATGACTCTCACTGCCTCTGTGCCCAGGGAGGCCTCCAAGCCAAGTTGGGGGCTCCAGGGTGGGACATGGTCTCCTGTTCCTGCCCGCTTTGAGAACTCTGGCTTTATCCTCCAGAAAGCTTCAGAAGCTGCTGTTTGGGGAGCCAATTTCTAGTTACTTCTTTGCCATCAGCCCACAGGCCTGGGTCCCAACCTGAGTCCTTTGGAAAATAGAAAGTGAATTTACAAAGGTAAACACAGGGAGTTAAGCACCCCTTGGTAGGATTCAGCAAGAGGATGATCTAGATTTAGGTGAAGGAGGGTCAAGAGTCAGACAATCTAGGTGAGTGTCTTTTTTTTTTTTTTAATAAGGATGAGGTTTTACCATGTTGGTCAGGCTGGTCTTGAACTCCCGACCTCAGGTGATCTGTCTGCCTTGGCCTCCTGCTTGGATTACAGGCGTGAGCCACCACGCCCGGCTATTTTCTTTTTTTCTTTTCTTTTTTTCTTTTTTCTTTAAATATAAGGTGGCTTTTACCAGGCCTTCCTTCTCAGAACCCTTTGGCCGTGTGTTCAGGATCCAGGTTCCTCTGGCCCACTGAAGCAGAGCGCATTAGGAGGTCTGGAGAGGCTGCACTTGATCCTGCTTCTTAGGTTAATCTGAGCATAGTGAGCCATGAGAACCACTGACCAGATGGAAGCTGGTCTTGTGTCCACCCCAGGACTGATGAGCTTCTGGGGACCTTGGTTTTCTGTAAAAATGGATTGCATTGTTCCCTTTACTTTTGGAGATTTTATGGTTTACCACGCACTTCGTGTATATGGTCTCATTTGGTTCTCACAGTACCCTAGGATGTGGAAAGGGACTGCCACTGTCAGGAAAGGCAGGCAAAGCCAAGGAACAAGGATGGAGCAGCAAGAGGGGTAAGAGAGGCAGGCAGAGATGTGGGCACTGGACTGGCTGATGGGGCCTCCAAAGACTATGTACCCCCGACACACACCTCGCAACCAAATCTTCCAGCAAGAGGAAAAAAGAGCGAGGAGATCTAGAGAGCTCTGAGAGGGGTGGAGCTGCACCTGCAGGAGGGGAAGGGAATGTCGCGTTAAGGCATTGGAAGCCAGCAGGACTGGAGTGGGGCACATGCAAGGACAGGGGGCGGAGGGGGAAAGAGCTGGGAGGGAGGAAGCCCTATATTGGAGGGCTTCAGGGACAGACCTGGTGCTCTTGGGAGAGTCCTGAGAAGAGCTGTTCTCTGCAGGGCCTGGAAGGGTGTGGCCGCCCCAGGATGGGTGTGAGAGGTCACAGTTCCTGAAGGAGACATCTGTCAGTCTGCATCTGTTTCCAGCCAAGCAGAGCAGGAAAGGCTTTGGGATGGCTGAGAGCCCGGGCTCCGAGATGGGAAGTGATGACGGCATGAATCATGGGGAAGGAGAGCGAGGAGAAGACGACCAAGGCGTGCTCCTTTCTTCTCCCACTCACTCCTGCTCATCCCCATTGCTGTGCTTCTCTCCACTCTGTCCAGTGGCTCAGAGCCAAAAGCGGCTCCTCCCCTCACCTGCAGGAATCCTTCTGAAGGCTGACTGCCGGTCCGCACACCAACTCAATCATCTTCAAGGACCGGCAAAACTGCCTTTGGCTTGATTATCATTTTAAGGCTAACGAACATGATGTGAAATTAAGAAATAAAGAATGGATTAAATGAATGTCTTAAAGCAGGATTTCAATATTGTGTGGTAGAGAAACTTTGTATTTAGAGAACCAGGAGGCCCCTCAGAGGCCATGAAATCTGGACAGGATCCTCTTAAAAGCTATAATCTTTCAGCCTCCCAGCTTCCACCTGGCTGTCCCATCTTCCCCCTTGCCTGTCTTCTCTGTGCATGAAGAATATCTAATTTTCAGCCTCAGCATGATAATGCTCACCCCATCGTAGGAAGAAGGGTCACGATTTCATTGCACTCGTCCATCCTGCCCTCTTCCCCTCTCTCAGGACCCTCGAAGCAACAGTCTGGCTCTGAAGCTGACCAGTGATCCCGGGAAGTGTGGGAAGGCATATAAAAAGACCCCAAACCAAGGTTTTAGACGATGACTGTGTCAGGCCAGAAATGCCAAAAGCCAGGACAGGCAGGAGAGCTCAGGGCCCCGTGTAGTCTGCAGTGGGCCCTGGGGGCCGGCGGGCATGGCCGCTCTTAGGCCAGACACTCCGAGCCACAGCTTGGCAAGCGATGCAAACACACATTGATACCTTCAACTCTCTGGTCCCCGCAAACAAATGCATTTGGGGGCACCTAATTTATTTTGCTCCGCTCTTTCCTTCTGCATCCAAGACTTGAGTGAGAAGTGAATCAATCTCAAAGAGCAGAAAGAAGGGGAGTGGGAGCACATCCAGATCCTTGCAGGAGATGATGTCTGTGCCAACCCTTCTTCCCTTATTCCTCCCTGAAGGCCACCCACAGCCACTCCAACAGCTCCCTACCTCAGCCACCATCATCTCTCTGCCCTGGGGCTTTCTCTGGCCTCAGGAATATGATCTATCTATACATGGGGCAGACTGAGAGCACAGGGAAGCCAGTGTCCCAGGAGAAACCCAGGAGGAGTGGGAGTTGGTAAACACCCAGTTTCCTCCTAGAGAGAGTGCCTCCCAGAATATCCCCATCCGGACTGACCCCAGGTGCCCACACAAACAACCTGCTCACTAACACATCTGCTCCCCTCATCCCACTTACCCTAGTTTCTTTTTTCTTTTTTTAGACACAATCTCACTCTGTCGCCCAGGCTGGAGCGCAATGGTGCGATCTTGGCTCACTGCAACCTCCGCCTCCCAGGTTCAAGCAATTCTCCCACCTCAGCCTCCCGAGCAGCTGGGATTACAGGTGCATGCCACCACCCCCAGCTATTTTTGTATTTTTGTTAGAAATAGAGTTTCACCATGTTGGCCAGGAGGGTCTCAAACTTCTGACCTCAAGTGATCCACAGCCTCAGCCTCCCAGAGTGCTGGGATTACAGGCGTGAGCCACCACACCTGGCCCCACTTTACCTATTTTCTACTGTGTTTCCTGGAATCACCTCATGAATAAATCATTGCACCAAAATTCTTTATTCAAGGTATACTCCGAAGGAACCCCAAATTAATATAAGATGAGGTTTAAAGAATCTAATATGGGAATCATCCACACTCCTGCATGGAATGTGTCCCTGTGTGCCACTGTTGGGTCTGCTGGGGTGACAGCTAATCATCTGAGAATCGCAGGCAAGAAGAAAAAAGGAACTGGGCCCCTCACTCCACAGACACGGCCCGGCTCTCAAGCTCTTCACCAGAAGCTGAGTCGGGCTGCAGAGCTCCCAGGCCCACAGTAAAGGCCTTTCATTTACTCTGAGCCACTTTAACCCGGCATGGAAGGCAGCGGGATTTTGTGTGAGGCAGGTGAGATGAGCTCTGAAAAGCTGAGGTGACCCCAGGCATGAATTCTGCTCAGAAGTGCCCATCTTGGGGAGTTCCAAATCATCTGTCCCAGTCCCTGCAAAGAGGCAGGATCAATCTCCAGGAAAACCTGGCAACCTGGAAAACACAAATCAGTGAGTATGGATCAAGAGAATTTCATGTTGCTTGGAAAGAAAGAAAACATCTTAAACTACTTTCCGAAGAGCCCCAAACCTGCAGCCAGCATGCAGCAGCCAGCAGAGTCCCTCCGGCACCCAGCACGTGGCCCCATCGCCTGAGCACTGGGCTCACTACTCCCCAGCCTCTCTCCCCTGTGTCATTCATGTCTCTCAGTAGTTGACCTGTCGTTTCTCAGCCCACCCCTGCCACTTGGCCACTAAGCCATAGGAGAGGAGGAAGAATTCCAGGGAGAAGCTGAGAGCAGTCTGGGTGGCCAGAAAGGGCGCAGCCCCATGAGTGAGCCCGGGAGGGGAGGCAAGTTCCTAACTCCTGAGCCCACAGCCAAGGGGGTGGTCAGGGCTGGGGGTAGGGGTGACTCCTCTTGATTCCAAAACCCTTGTGTATTTTCAGGGAAATTTTATCCATATGTTTCTGATTCATTAACACTTAACTCATCAACATGTTATGTGGTGAGGGCTATTTGAAGTCCAACACGCCTGTTTAATGAGACTAAGGAGCCTTTTGACTGTTTTATTTTTTGCAAAAGGATGAGATTTTTATTTTCCTCTTTTCTCTCCAGAAAAGCAAGCAGTCATATCCTGTACAGTGATTCAGGGCTATGAAACTTACATCTTTGGAAAGACTATGAGACAGAAAGACAAAAGTCCGTGTATTGGGCTTGGATCTCCCTTGACCAAGGTGATCTTCTCTTGGCCAATCATCTTCTCGAGCTTCTGCAAACATCCAAGCTCTTCAAGTGACAGAGAAAGATGTTTAAAGCCAAAGAATTCTCATGATATCGAAATTCCTGAAGTCCCTAACTTATCTGTTCGTTGTTATCACCTCCTCATCGTCTGTCTCTTGCCCAGACTTTAGCTACATACATTCTGTTCTTAATGAAAATCTTCAAGATGAAGTCTGGAGAAGTATGAGTGTGGCAGGGGCCAAAAGAAGTTCTTTAATGGATATGAAGGTTTAGTCTCCAGAATGAGCTGAACCTCAGACAGAGTAAGAGGCATGGATGAAAATAGGGACCAGCTGGATGAAAAGAGAAGCAGAAAGAACTGAGCATCCAGGACATGAGGTACCAGATTACTAACTAAGGAAACTGTAGAATCTTCCTTTCTGTACATCCCAAATTAAAGGGTGATCAGACTCACCTTCTTCCCACTGCATTTCTGACCCACTAAGTTGTTAATTAGCTGCCCTTCCCAGAGACAGAAGAATGGATAAGATGACCTTTGGGGACCCTTACCCACCTCCCCCAGGGCTTTTACCATTCTCCCATTAGCCCAGCTTAACTCAGCAGAGCCCACTAAGAACAGAGGGCCATTATGTTATCTTCTCTTAAGACCACAGATTGCCAGAGACGAAAAGGTCAGAAGCCTCCAGTGCTGTCTGGGGCAGCCTATAGTTGCTGGTGCTTTGTCATGCCGGGTGAAAATAAAGCCAGAAGAGTGACCAAGGGCTCTCCCAGCAGGTAAATCTAGCCTCCAGTCTTCCCCTCTCATTCAATCAGTGCAGAGACTTGGCTGCATGCATTATTCTGGCTCCTGGGCAGAGAGACTTGAGGTGCCATGCATGAAGACAGCAGTTTAGATGCTGGAATGATTTCACACACTGAGAATGGGGGTGGGAAACAGAAACCATCTGTGTGCAAGTGAGTGTTGATGTCCATAGAATCCCAGATGCAGGGAATGTTGCTTCCTGAGTACCTCAGTCCAGTAACTCCAGCTGCGGAGATGAGATCTAGCCCTACATTGCTTTTTCCTCCCATACCAAGCTTCCAATTTACAGATGGAATAATTCCTGTGTCAATCAACACACCTTTATTAAATACCTGGGACAGAAGGAGAGAGAGAGCAGAGGCACCAAAGACAGAAGCCTCAGTCTTTTTACAACCTAACCTTAGAAGTGATATTCTATGTATTGCTTCTGCTGTATTCTTTCCACTAGAAGCAAGTCTGTAAGACCAGCCCATGCTCAAGGTGAGGGGATTACACAAAGGTGTGAATATCTGGAGGCAGGGATCACTGGGAGCCGACTCGGAGGCCACCTTCCACATGCCACCAGGGTGGAAGTCAGAAGATGTGCATCTGCCTGCCTCAGGCTCTGCCACTTTCTGGGCATAAGCCTTATGCCTCTGGGATTTCCATTCTATCTGCAAAGCAAATGAGTTAAGATTTTTTTTCCATTGGTGAGACTCCTGACATGGTTCCCTTGGAGAGTAGGTGGCAGACTCCTCAGGTGGCTAAATGCCCTGAAAAGTCAACCATCCCTGCCTTTTTTATAGAAAACCTTCTTCCTGGGCCATACATACGAGCCTCTTATTGTCATAGCCCTCCTGGGGAGGAAACGTCTTTCCTGGTGGGAATGCTTCCCGGCATCTAACCCTCCATTTGTTCCACTGAGGCCTCACCCCTTCTTATCTGTGCCTGTTCTCATTGGTACCAGAGACACTTTCGCATGTTTCTTTAATAACCTTTACATAATTTAAACATGGAGCACCTGGGCCCCTAGGTGTCTGAGTGACAGATGACTTCCCACCAATAAGCCAGGTCACCAGTGCCTAATTCAGACAGACGGAGACTGTGTTCAGCTGCCCTTTGCCACATGGCTCATCCTGGGACTAACTTGTTCTGTGGCCCTTTCTTGACCAGGCACCATCAAGTCAGAAAAACTGTGAAGAGACATAGAAAACTGCATGAATTAAGGAAAGAAAGGAAGAGAAAGAGGTTATCTGAAATTGAACTTAGCGGGGCTTAGCCCTTCACTGGGAATCTCATTGTCTTTTCCCAGAAGACCTTTGTGAAAGTCATTATCTTTGTGGTCAGGAGGAAGAGACTTGAGCTTCGTGTCCACAGCCAGTTTGTCAAGATCAGGCCCACATCTGTTTCACATTAAGCTGTGAACCATTCTTAAACTTTGCTTCACAGTACCTTCGAGTAGTTTTGAGTAAAGCAAATCCTTTCTTTAACCTAGGATTAAATCCTATTAGACTTCAATGGACAAGAGCCACCAGAATTGACTTTCTTTGTCCTAACCCATGGACAGTTACCTTCCCAATGTCTTGTGTGTACTACAGGTTCTCTTCAGGGAGCCAGACTTTATTAAAACTGTGGATATCATCAGGAAAAGATCACAGGTAAGCCTCTAGGTCCCAAAGAGTGCTGGGACTCAGGACCCCATCCAGAGAGTGGATGAATTCTAGCTCTAGTCCTCTTTACCCAGGACCATGTGCTGGAGAATGTGGTTCTGGACATTGGAGGTTGGCCCGAGTGCTGCACAGGTAGGCCATCAGCCTCACCCTCCACTTCTCTCCTGGCCTCCCTCTCAGAGCCTCCCAGGACCAGGAAGAGAAGGTGTGCCTCTAGGTGCTGACGCTGACTTCTTTCTGGAGCACATACAGCCTGGCTAAAGAGGACCAGCTATGTGAAATGGGAGGCAAAGCTCATAAATGACCTATGAATTTTACTCACTGCCATAAACACATCAGAATCATAAGAACTTGATAGTACTTCACAACCTCCCCAGATGTCTCTCCCCTGGCATTGAGAAGAGACCTTGAGAATCAACACCAAGGCCAATTTTGCCTGAAGCTCAGGCACATGCACTCCTTTCTAAGGGGACCTCCCATTGCCCATTAGCGACTCACTGATGAGAGCAGCAGCCCCAGAATGACTGCAGAGTTCTTCCTCCTCCGTCTACCTTGATCCAATGCCCAAACCCTGCCTGCCTGCTCAAGTGCACCAAATGGGTTTATGCATCATCCTTGAAGCCATGGCCCCTTTCAGTGGATCAAAGGACTGTAAGTACCAAAAGTCCAGTGTGTTCACTATGTTCACAAAGACTCCACCACTGTGGGCACTGTATTCTCCTTGAAATAAGAATTATCCCATTTAATCCTCAAAATAGTCCTATAAGGACAAATGTTTGCAAATGAGAATAAGGGAGATTAAGAAAGAACGTTACCAAGAGTCACACGGCTAGAAAGGTTGAGCTAGGATTTGATCCTAGGCAACCTGACTTAACTACCACTCCATGAGACCCCATGGTATTTCACAGCTCTCAATAAATGCAGCTGGAGGTAGCTTCTGTCTGTTTGGAAAGGCAAAACCAGGACTTACAAATCAAATGTTTTTAAGAACAAGCTCTCCCTAGAGAGATTGTGTTTTCCCAAGATCAGGCATCAAATTGGTCTGAGGGCCTAGGAGATGGGGGCCTTTTTGGCACCCCTCTTTTTGAGTAGCACCCCTAGAGAACAGCCTTATACTGGGAAGTCAGCAATCCTCTCCCACTGCCCATGCCCTGACTTCTGGGAGCCCCAAGTTTTGCACACCAGGCAGGGTAACATGAGGGACAAAGGGTAAGGACTTGGAAATGGGAGTCTGGCCTCTCCATGTGTCCTTGGGCTCTCCTCAAACCCAGTGCTTAGAGATTGCAATTTGGGAACCTGAAGGAAGGACAGGGACAGGCATCTGTCATGTTGGCTGTAAAGCTACTATCTCTCATATTAGGCATCTGGCACGTACAACCTCTAAGACACTACGCAGATGTGCCCCCGATCACCTCACTGCAGAAGCTAGAGAAGAACCACAACATTGCAAGGGGCAGAATGATCCCGGAAATTAATTTGTGGATACAGATTTTTGAGCTGTCAGGGGCCTTAGCAATTCCCCCACTATAGTTCCTTCATTTTACAGATGAGGCAAATGAATTCTAGAGAATTGCTTTTGAATTCCTTTGTTAGGATGAATCCAGTCATGAGTAACTGGGTTCATACGTGTCCGTTAGAACTCCCACCACCTGAACCCAGGAACTCATCCGAACCTCTGTGAAGCTTTGAGCCAGCAGTCACAGGAGTAACTCTGGCCCAGGAATACATATGTTTGAAGAAGAAGCATTCTAGAAAATGAGACAATCCTAGATAATGAGACCATATGATTTATTATCCAAAC